CTGTCTCTTTTCAAATGAAAGGCTTGATGGGTTGCCATTGATATAGCCTCAGCTTTTTTTTTTTTTTTACTTTTCATGAAGAAATCCCTGTTTTCTCCCCTTTCTGCCTCCCTAACCTTGCTGTCTTTCCTAGAGTCCCCAATGTTTAGGGTCTGAGATATTTTCCTAAACTAGTTATCTTACCAAGAATATATTTTTTCCATCCAACATGTATTTGATGGAGAATTATGTGCTATGTACTACACTACTAGTAAGTCCTCAAAGTACAGAATAAAACAGACCCAGCCCAGCTTTTGTGTAATTTATAGATTAGCTGGGATGATAGCTATTAGGTTAATTTTCCAGTTAATTGATTACAATTGAAATAAGTGCTCCAAAGGAGATATACAGGAACATTTGGTACTATCTGTGTTTGAGGACGTGTCTCTGAGGAAGGGAGGGTTCTGATACTGTGTTGGCACTATTAAACCCCAGGTATTCAAGCACTGTGTTATTGAAGAGCTGAAAATAAAATATCCTCTCCTTGCATGGGTAGTTAGTAAATGTTCTAGAAAAAGAATTGGGCTTATAGCTGTTTAGCAAGCCTTGAACAACATTTAACAAAGTAGCATATATAAATAGACAATTATATTAGTATGTGAATCATTTAGAGTTCAAATTGGTATTGGAGAATAACTGAAGGATCTCTTACAAAAATCAAAATAAACAGGGTGAGACCCATTTCTCCATGGCTATACATCATCTCTCACAGCGCCTAACGCTCATTATACAACTACAATCAGGAGCTAATTTCTGAGGCTGAAGCCTAGGCACTTTGACTACTAGTCACTTATAAAATTTAAATTACAAGTCTCTGTACTTGTCATTTCTAGAACAGGGGATACAAAGAGCTGCAATGTATGTCTGGCTTTTCCATAGTAAAGCCACATGTTCTTTTATGTGAACAGGTGCCGAGCTGATCCTCATTAGGTGCTGGGCATCATTAATCCCTGGATGTGCAGATAGTGTGTAAACTGTAAGATGGTTGACATGAGATACTTCCAGCAAGTCCAGGTATTTCCGAATCTAAAGCCGGCATAGCATCCTGGGCCAGGGTAGTGTGAAGGCAGGGACCTTGACTACAAGTCATTCTTAAAAACAGCCTTCGACAAGGTAAACAATGAAAGATCTCCATGCCTAGCTGGTGTGCCTCAGTGTTTGAGCATCAATCTATAAATCAGAAGATCACAGTTCGATTCCCGGTCAAAGCACGTGCTAAGGCAATGGGTTTGATCTTCAGTGGGGGTTGTACAGGAGGCAACCCATCAATGATTCTCTCATCATTGGTGTTTCTATTTCTCTCTTCCTATCTGAAGTCAATTATACACACACACACACACACACACACACACACATATATATATATAATTTTAATATATATATTATATGAAGATCTCCATGAAACCACTAAAAACAAATTTTTGTGCTACTTTTAATAGTATAGCCCTACAGGCAGAAATTTGCCTATAAGACAATCTAGAGAAGATAAGGTACTTATTACATAACCATTTTTACCCAGTGCTGTGCTGATATACTTGGAGCAGGAGTGGGAAGGTACTGATATATAAAATAAATTCCTCTTGAGATATTTTCACTTAGGTTGGGGAAATAAGGTGTTTTAGGAAGTGTAATAATTTAGTCCTGAAGCTTGCGTTCTTAAACATCCATGCATAATGTAAACGGTTGAATCCGTTTTGCTCCCATTTGAGTCCCATCTGCAAGATGAAGACAATAATACTGAAAGAGCTGTTGTGAGGTTAAATGATGCTGTTTATAAAGGAGTTTAGAAGAGAGGAAAAAAATAACACTGACTCCTTGTGCAAGGTCACTCAACTGGTTAAATGGTAAAGCAGTGAAGGGACCCCAAGTGATCTGGCATCTAAGAATGTTCATCCCAAAATGCCAAAAAATATGCTGGAAAGTGAGGTGACTTATTCAAACAATTATCAACATTTGGATTTTTGCAATGCTCTATTTAAATATTTAGAGTCACATCGAACCTTGATAAATATTTATGTATTTCTTTTTTATATACTCTGTGTACATAAAATACCAAAAAAACATACATTTACAAACATATAAATAGTCCTTGGACTTTTTTTTTTTTAATACACCCAACTATGTCATTCAAAGGGTTGAGAGATTATCTCTAGTAGCACGTCTAGGGGAATGGACATATTTTCAATCAATATCTTAAGAATGACTACAGTTTTGATAGGTAGATATATTAGGGGAGAGGGTATACTTCTTTGGAGGAAGTATCATGAGAATTAATTCAAGAGTAAGCCATGATTAGGGCATAGAATGGTGCACTAGATTGGAGAATTATTTTGCAAGAGTTACGGAGATGAGCCGAGAAGGTGCATTGTGCTAGAATTCTTGGGTACCAGAATTAGGGGTGTAAGACAATACTAAAAATGTTTTGAAACACCAGAATTTCCTGAGTGAAACAAAAAATTGGGTGACTTAAGAACACTGATCTTGCGAAGGAGTTTGAATGGATTTGGGTAAGAAAAGAGCAGAGGTAGGAAGACCATTTGTGCTGTGACCACAGGGGTTCAGGTGAGATCTAATGAGCCCGAACCGGCTGTTCTCATGCACAGGCAGGCTTTCGTTGAGCAGGTAACTATTTTTCATGAGGATCTAGTTAAAATTATGTTTGCATCTATAATACCTATGAGCAGAACCCAGAAATTATGTCTGTATCTACCTATGAGCAGAAAACAGGAATTGTTCACATTGCATTAGAGCATTAAATGACTCTTCTGACGACATTGCGTTTCATTCTTATGAGTTACAGTGAGTTTAGTGTTTATTACCCGGTCCTCATACTCATGCCTTGAAAATATACTACTAACTTGATAGCCTATAACTTCTCCTTTTAATGCTATTGCTGGTTTATACAACAGTGGGAGATGTGAATGCTACAATTCAGCACAATATTGAGATCATTAATTCTAGTCATATAGAGCCTCATGAACTTAGAATTGCTTTCTGATGCGCAGGATTTCCGTTGTACAGACAAAAAGAAAAAGCTACAGATCATACTTACAGTTTCTCAGTCTGTTAAATAATCAATTATCTGAAGCTTTCAAACATTACATTGATAAGTTTTATAAATAGGAGGCATTTCTGACCCCTGTTTATTAAGGTCTGAAATCAACATAGAATGCATATTGAATAAACATGTGGAATAGTATCTGATTTCATTAAGTTTAATTATATTCATACACAATTTTGTGTCACGTATGATTCTTTTAGCTAGAAGAAATTTACAGAAAGGAACCAATTGTTAAGTATCATTTTGAATTACCCTTTCATTTTATATTTTATTCTATTTCTAGAAATTTGCAAGTGAACCTTTTGAATGCCACCAGCATTCAGATGTAAAATAGATATTAACATTTTATCTAATATGCATAACTTATATAGGACCATACATCCATACATCTGAATATGCAAAAGTATTCAGATATCTCCTCAATTTATGGATGTTGTATAAAATCTGTAATTTGTACATGTAAGTACATTATTCCCAACTGCATTTCCTTAGTTACAAAATAAAATATTAGGGATGAAGACCATATGAAATTATGATGTCTAGACTTAGATCATTTGCCTTTACTCTTTTTCACTCCAGCAAAATATCCATCATATTGTAGGGAAAGTTAGCTTTGTGAAAATCAATAGATCCAAAATAAAATCAACATTATTTAAAACTGAATATAATAGAATTTGTTATTTACTAAATATTGACTAAATAAAATTTAAACCTAAATCTAGCAAATTTTGAGTTAGTTAAAATAAACCTATAAAATAGAAATTGCATAAAATATGATTAGCAAAACTGAATGTGAACCTCAAATTGATGAATGAATAAAACTTTATCTGAAATTCACATAGAATGAAAGAAATTTTGATTAAGATTAAAATGAAAATAGAAATACTGTAATATAATGGTGATGGTTAGCACATGAATCAATGAATTAGGATTATTTAATTGAGGTTACTCTAAAAATAAAATGCATATATCAGTAATGGCACAGTTCATATAATAATGTTTATTTGCAATTAAAAGATAGTTCTTATGGTCAAAGCTTTAGGGTCACAATTATCTGTTCAAAAAGGGGGTTTCAGAGGGCAGATTACAGTATCGCCTACCCTTTCACATTACAAAATCACCATGAAGGAGGCTTCTTAGCAAGGCTTGTGGTCAGGGATGGCCAGTTGGTTGGTTTATTTTTTTAAAATTAATTTTTCACTACATTTTCTTTTTAAAAATTCTTTTTAAAAATTCTTTATATGTTCCTATTTCCCCCATTGACCCCTTCTAGCTTTAGCATTTTTTCTCTCTACCACAACCCTAAATGACAAATACAGATGCATATTTGCCTTAAGCAGTTAGCCCATAACAGTGTGTTCTCTGTTATTATAATCAGAGGTTAATATCGCCCATTTGTTTCTTGAAGCTGCCCTAGGTTATTCCATGTGACCAGTCCATCATAATCCCATAATTTAATAGTTCTTTGTTCAAAGTGGGATGATGAATGAGCACAAGTCCCGGATTAAAAAGAAGCAAGTCTTTTTTTGCAGTATTGCAACGTAAGAACTGGGCATTTATTTGTGGAATTTCACTTTTCTGCGCCTCCATTTCCTAATGTATAAAATGAGGATGATCTTGTCTGCTCTGTTTAGTTTACAAGGCTGCTTTATTAACCAATAACAACCGAACAGTAAACTTCAAGAGATTAATGGCCACATCATTATCGTATTTTAGCTCCAGAAACTACTGTAGTGCCAGGCACATACTACGGTAAAATGAGAAAACAAATGAGATGAAATATGAGAAAATACTTTGTACAATACAGGTTTCTATACACAATATAAATGTGATTATTTTTATTGGCGACTGTCACATCTCCTCTGAAAGATGTACCCTTCCTTCTTTGTTTTCCCCACAGGACCTCTGAGGTTTCTGTCCCAGACAGAGTCTGTCACGGCCTTCATGGGAGACACGGTGTTACTCAAGTGTGAGGTCATCGGGGAGCCCATGCCAGCGATCCACTGGCAGAAAAACCAGCAGGACCTGGCTCTGGGCCTGGGCGACTCCCGGGTGGTGGCCTTGCCCTCGGGTGCGCTGCAGATCAGCAGACTCCAGCCTGCGGACACGGGCATCTACCGGTGCTTAGCCCGCAACCCAGCCAGCTCGAGAACTGGAAACGAAGCCGAAGTCAGGATTCTATCAGGTATTGCAGCACTCTTTTTAAAAAAATAAATTTTTATTGAATTCAGAGAGGAAGGGAGAGGGAGAGGAGATGGAAACATCAATGATGAGAGAATCCTGTACACCCGATGTGTGGGATGGAGCCTGCAACACAGGCGTGAGGTCTGATCGGGAATCAAACTGTGACCTCCTGCTTCATAGGTCTATGCTCAGCCACTGAGCCCCACCCACCAACTGGGCTTGTAGTGTTCTTTATTCTTCCTAGGATTATGTTCTCTAGAGCAGTGTTTTTCAACCTTTTTTGGGCAAAGGCACACTTGTTTCATGAAAAAAATCACGAGGCACACCACCATTAGAAAATGTTAAAAAATTTAACTCTGTGCCTATATTGACTATATATAAAGTAATTCTCTTGAATAGGAATCAAATAAACACAAAGAAAGTATTTTATAATTACTTTATTATGAAATATTAAGTAAACAAAATAGTGAAAAATTATAAAATTCTTGTCTTGCCTGCACCTACGGCACACCAGGCAACATCTCGCGGCACACAGCGGTTGAAAAACGCTGCTCTAGAGTACAGTAAACAACCATTTTTCCTTTAACAAATAAGTTATATTTGTTTTAAGTTCCTTATTGTGTATTGAGGTTTTGTTTTATATTTTCTCTTTCCCTTTTTTTTTGAGCCATTAGATGAAGGTATGCCAAAAACATGTTCTATTTGTCTATGTCTTATAGTTGAAGTTTCCAGAGAAACAGATATTTTCCTTATATTTGGCTTCATTCATTCCATCAATATATGAATGTTTCTTTGAGCAAAGCCCATTGCTAAGCATTTAAAACATTTTCTCTAATAATATTTTTTAAACATGAAGTGATGATTACTTAACAAGGATAAGAACCTTTCCCAAGTTAACATTAAACATTTATTCACTCATCCATTCATACACATGTTTTTGAGAAGCATTGTACTGAGTACTAGGGATATATATATAATGACTAAGACTGACACGGAGCCTGGCTTACTAGGTTTCTGGGTGGCAAGGACATTGCTTAATTACAATGAAGAGTGATTGATATTATGAGGAGAACAATATTCCTGTCCTCTTAATCTCTTTTTCTCTTCTCTGGCAACTCTCTAAACTCTAGGTTTATTCTCCTCTCCAAAATAATTAGAGATTGGATTGGCTATTCTCTAAGATTTTTTCTCTTCCGATTACTACTACTATTAAATACCTATGTACTATCTACTTTCTTATTTAGTGTCACTTGTAAGGTTTGGTTAGACTAGTGAGAATCACCAGAAAGACACATATTTGAGAAACCATGACAAATTCCCTATCAAAGTATTGATGTTGGCTCTTGTCTCTGCTCTCTATGTGTAGTTGCCACAAATCCATCAGCTGTGTGGAGGGTCACATCCTGTCATCCCAAAAGCAAACAGGAAGGCAGGGGAGAGTGGTGGGGGAAAGAGATCAACCAATGAACTCATATGCATATATGCATAATCCATAGATACAGACAATATGGTGGTAAAGGCTTGGGGGGAGGGGAGGAAGGGCAATGGGGGAATAAAAAGGGACACATGTAACACTTTCAACAATAAAGATTTATATAAAAAAGCAAACTAGCAATTTGATTGAAAGTTGCAGATTTTTTAATAAGGGCATGTCTAAAAACCTCTTCTAATTCTTCTGTGTATTCTTTTCCCCATTATTCACAGAAATACTGGTTTAAATGTGTCAGTGACCATCAGCAGCACTGTTACCTTCCATCTGCTAGGCAGTGAAAGATGCAACTTTAGCATTTATTCCAAAAACATACATTCATTTATTTAGGTACCCATTATATACACATAAATTTTAAATATTTATATCCATATATCCTGAATAATGCATCTGTTAAGTCTAGGTACACTACATAGAAAATTGGCAAGAATATGTTTGACTATCTTAATATGACTGAAAGGTTATTTCCCTGTGGTATGAAGGCACATAGTTGGACTAATTAAATATTAAATCTGCAATGGAAAGTTTTGAAAGGCACAGAGATATTATCATCAAATAACCATTTACTTTTTATTTGTTCACTTTGTAAATCCATGGAGGTTTGCATTGTAATCATGGAGGTTTATTTAAAGCCAAATTTCATGTTGTTAATTTGGCTAAATCAAGAATATGTTGGTATACTTTGGAGGCGTCTAGTTTTTTCTTACCTGAATGGAAACTAAAATTTTTTGAATTCATTACATTTAATGAGAACCTTTCTCAAAGTTCTATTTGAATAATATTAACTTTAGAAAGGAATTATGAGCAGAGGTAATAAATACACACACACACACACACCACATACCCACACACATGTTATTGTCATACTTAAGATTGTCTCATTTGCCACTGATCACATAAAGGCGCTGCTGAAGGAACACGTTTGTCCATTTATTCTTAAGTTTGCAAGTTGATTAGGGGGTCAAATATACAGATCCACAAGTATAAAAATGAGTACGAAAATGAATGACTGAATGGGTAAGCCCAGTTCCTCTTACTTGCTACTTGTTCTCTCATTTTTAAGATCATGATTATTCTTTTTTAATCAATTTCCAATTTCCAATTTGAGGAAGTATTGACTTGAGGGAGTGATAAACTACATACATATATTGCCCATTCTTTATCTAACACTTAGTTAATCCATTCTGATAAAGTCCACTAAAACAGAAACCTATCATATTATTAACATGGTTCAGGAGCAATAAAGTGGGACCTGAATGGTTACCACTCTTTAAAATATGTATTCTTCTATGGTCATTTAAGTACCATGCTGAGTGAGGAAGTGGCCTATATTGTTTCACTTTGATACATAAATGCTAATTAGAAGTCACATGCCCAGCATTTGTTTTTACCACAGTTCATATAGAGAGCATTCACATTGTATTTTGTGTGTATAGACAGTCATTTACTTCTAATTATATATATATATATATATATATATATATATATATATATGTATATATATATAATCTTATTGTACTTATTCAAGGTCATGTGAAATATATTTCAAGTTTCCACTTTTATATAGCAGGTGTCTAATATTACACAGTAATTGAGATCTATTGAATTAAAAATCCAAAAAATCAAATAGCTGTTTTGAAATGCTTTCTTTCAACAGCAATTTTGATTTATTCACTGAATAAAAAAGTAAATACTTTATTCAACACCTTTTAAGTGGATCTTATATACCTGCCATGATACAGGTTGCTAGGAAGACAATGTTGGAAGACTGCCCTGAGACAGCTGTCGTCTAATGGGGAACATAGACAAAGCAGCCCATGAACTTGCTATGAGAAACTAACACACACAATGCCATAACTATATATATATGATAACAACACCAATGTGTCAATCTTGGAGAACAAGTGGTAGCTAGTCCAAGAGAAGTATATACATCAGGAATAAGCGAGCATTTATAAGAAAAGCATAGAGGAAAGAGAGATAAAGACTTTTTCAAAGTATCCTAACTGCACACATTCTATTTAACATGATCATAGGGCATAGGCAGGGTTGAAGGAGTATGAGTTACAAGGAAAGAAGATAATGGAATAAGGAAGATACGGTAGAATGTGTGGCAGTAATCCTTCAGAGACTTGACCAAAAGCTGCTATAAAGTGATATCACAAGGATTCAGAAATGAAGATGGGTGGTGAGATTTTAGGGCAGGTCTTGAAAACATATTAGATGTGGTGTCTGAGGGAGGGAATGGAGTTCTGGTTCAATGAAAGCTGAGCAGTGGCATTTCCAGAGATTGGGATTGGGGTAGTGGTTCATTGCATGCAAAATAAAGTGCAAAGTTTTAAAAGAGATTTTCTCATAACTTAATGTTTTCCAGAGTCAATATATAATTGTTTCATTCAATGGTAGGAAAATTAGTAACTAACTAAATTTTTTGATTAATGTTTTAAGATAGAAATTAGACTTTTGCTTCTGAGGAATGGTACATTTTAGCACATTAAGTTAGTATTAAAGCACAAAGAACTTTTTTGAAATATTGATAACAATACACTAAGAGCTGAGATGCTTTAAAATATCTTATTGTACGTGGTGAAGAATGTATGAGGAGCTGAAGTGGCCATTGAGACTGTCAAGTCCACTTCACTCAGCTCTCATCACTCCTGAGTGCCAAGTATAATAGTACATTGGATTGCTAAATATAAATCTGCTTTGGACATGAGGTTGAGTAAAATAACTGGTCTATACTCATATTTCAGTTTTCATAATGGCCTAATTAAATTGAACAATTTGTAATTTAATATATTATTCATCCATCCACTTAACTACAATTAGGTGACCCTGGGCCCTGGGTAACTATGAACTAAATATCTGTATAATTAAAGTCATTGGCTTTGATGGAGTAAATTGGGCTAAAGTATATTTCAAATAATTTTTCTCCACAATATTTATTTTTATTGAAATAATTTTTAACAAAAAACATTCCCAAAATCATATTATTTAAATAGAAAACTATGGTTTTTAGCTTAAAAAGTTTCATTATTTTTGTCTTCACTAAGAATTATTACTAATCCAATGGGTGCATTAACATTTTTTATTTGACTAAATATTTCTTATATTGCAAAATTAAATCTATTTTGCTACCATTTGTTTTTACAATTTCTACAGAATAATGATCTGAAGGGGATAACAAAAAATGACACATACTTTGTTTTTAAATTTACCATCATGCCAGATAGTTAATTAGTATAGCTATATGAATCTATAAAGCAGGAGAGGGTAAATTCAAGAAAACATATTTAGTTCCAAATCAGTACAGACAAAAAATAAGCAAATTTGAGGTGGGAAATTTGAAAAGTCTTTATAGAGATGTTTACTTTTCTAGATCATCAGGGGAGAAACATTTATGGAAAGATGTCAGCAGATGATAAGTATAGAAAGAAAGGTTAAACCTACATTATGAAAAGTCTTGAACCCCATCCCAATCAACTAGATTTCATTCTGTTAATTTTATTTAT